TAAGAACCCTGAGTGTACCCGATTCAAGCCTGGAGCAGCCCTTGTACACATGATGTTTGTACGCAGGAGATGATGCGGAGGTTGCTGGTGCTGATCGAGTGGCCGAGGCCAAAAAGCGCATGAAGAGCATTGGCTGGCCTGAGATCGATGCTGACGCATTGGCATCTAGCTACATTCTCAAGGTGTTGACAACGCTAGGCAAATGGTCAGCTAAGATGGCGGGGCTGAAGCATGAGCTGAATGACTTCGAACAAACTGAACAGGTTGTGAAGTTACTAAGCTGCACTGGTAATATACTGGGTCAGGTGTTCTACTTCTACTGGGGCTTCTCAATGCGACTTACCATACAATCCTGACTGTTCATCAGGCTGAAGGATTCATGCGGCTTGCTCGTTGCGGAGATTGACAAGGTCACCGAGAAGCTTTCCACTATGCAGGTGGATGGACTGTCTGATGGCTACACCCCAGCGTTGCTGGCCTAAAACTAAACAAGCATAAGTTGGTGCACCCAAGTAGCCCCATTGAGGTTTCTGGTTCAGCTGTTATAGAACCCCATACAACAGTACCCCATGAAAAACATTCTTGCTCACAGGCTGAACCCACCTGCTGTCTAAAACATGGCAGCCCAGGCAGCAGGATGAGTTCAAGCTCATGTATGCCGCCGGGAAGTCCCAGTGCCTTGATTTTTGGTGGGTCTTCGGGACACATGCGTTCGGAGTTTACTGTCAGGAAGGGCTAGCTCAAATCTCTATATGCATGGGGTAGTGATGTTTCTAAATAAGTAGAATGCCCCATATATGCATACATGAATGCAAAAGTCAACCCCTCTGGGTGAATAAAGCTTCTATAACATGTTTTCGGCTACAAAACTTTATCAGACCCCTTCGAACTGGCTTTCGGAATCTAGCTTGTGACGGTGCAGCTACGTTGATTTGTCTGCTGCATTGGCTCCGCAAGGCTTGGAGAATTTCACATGTATAACTTCATCACCCTTACATAACAAAACAAATCACTCCTTCGATCTTTCTAGGTCGGCCACACGAAGATCCGTTGTCTATGTGTATTTCCTAACCCTCCGAAAACTGGTTCGAAATTATAAAGCCTACATATATACATATATGTGATTGTATGTAGTGTCACTTAACAAAGGACTCTGCGTACTGCTTCGAGCTGGGAGCAATTAAAAGGAAGTTGAGGACTGGAGCTCAAAAAATCATGTACCACAAGTTTCGTTATCAACTCTATAACTCATCTGTGTTTAGATGGGTTGCTGCATCCCGTGGATGTCGAGCTGGAGGCGATTGCTGCGGTAACCTCTTCATTCGTGTGCAGTCACTGGGGATGAGCAAACGATTGCGAAGTCTAGCTTCGTTCCTTTGGGATGATGGGGACCCTCATTCACTGGTTGAAGATTGGTGCAAGCAGAACATGTCAGCTCAGATTTGTTCGACGGATGCAGTTTTGGAGTTACCTGATCATGTTGCAACCGAGCAGCATGTGCCGTGCGTAAAAGTCATAGGGCAGGCCAGCTGCATAGAAAAACCTTGGCTGAGACAAATACGTCGAAAGGATTCCTGGTTTTGGTTGCAGGACTTGTCGAATGAGATTAAGGAGTTGGACAGATTCAAGTTGGATATTGTTCCCAATCTGAAGCGAACTAATTTTGCTGATGGAGCGATTGCGTTTGACCTTCCTGGCTCTACCCTTGCTTCGAACGTCCTCAAGCATGCTGAGTCAACCATCCGAAGTTTCTCTTCGAAATGCCCTGCGTTGTACAAAGTAGGGGCCACAAGCAATCCGGTGGTCAGATGGCAGCACAGCCGCTACGGCTATGCGCTCGACAAACATGTTCGATGGGATAGCATGATTATTCTCCATGTGCACACAGACCCTGCTCTGATCTGCTTGCTTGAAGCAGCACTAATTCGCATTTTCTATGATACTCCGGGGTGCCGTAACATACGGCTTGGTGGGGAGGGTATTAACCATGATTCTGAAGGACCTTTCTTTTGCTATGTTGTGCGCAAAGCCCTGGTACCCCCAAAGTGCAAGTAGTTTGGTTGGACTGAGCTGCACCCTCTAATTAAGAAGATGAGGACTTACGCAGTTGCCTGCGTGCAAGATGAATGGGTGTGTGCTGAGAGATCTGGGTTTATAGGGGTTGTAGGTTACATATAAAGGGTTTGTCCTCGGATTCTGCGAATTGTGGTAAATACTCCTGCAATCGTCGTACTGTATATGTATGGGCCCTCAGTCCTGATTTTAGTCTACGAGCTCCTCAAGCAAATCTTGGCAAAGCTCTTTAGCTTGTGGGTTTTTTGAGCTACATTCTAAACTCCTGGTATCCCCTTGACAAAGCCTATATATACATATATGTATATAGAATACTCCCCATGCAAATGTATATAGATCTAAATCTGGAAAAAAAGGAGTTTAGACTGTAGCTCATCTACATACGTAGGTTTATATGAGGTCATATAGCTATAGCTTCGATATGTATATGGTATGTGTGTCTATATGTCGGGCTTATAGGCTTTATATACCTATCTATAGAGGGCTCTCTAAAGTTATATATGCATATATACATATTCTTATTTATATATATGGGATTGACATATGTACGGGACGTCATGTGTTGAGGGACCTCTGAAAAGGCAGTGCTACATACTTTTGGGAAGGTCCTATAACTGTCTTGGAGTGACTTTGCGTGTGGCTCCTGCGTGCCCAGGCTTCTGCGGGTATGTTTGGGGTTTTATATATATAGGGGTGTATATATATAGGGGTTTACAGGGCTTATATACATATATATATATATAGGGATTGATAGGGATTTATATGTATATATGGGGGTTATATAGAGGGATATAGGGTTCAGAGAGCTGAAGTGTACATATCCAAAGGAAACCCATGCATGCAGCAACCTCCACAACCCCAATTAACTATGTCCATCATTGGAAAACTAGCTTGGTTGGGCCCAGATTGAAACCCATTCTGAAAAGGGAGCACAGTCAGTATGTAGCGGGGCTTATAGTTGTGGTGTTTTGTCCTGCTCGGGTAGCAGGCCCCGTATATAGATGCCGCACAATCCCAAATCCTGAAAACCAACTTGTAAGCCTGCAAGCCCTATATATGTAAAGAGTTGTTTCTGAGCCCGCGAACGAGTTCATTCTAAGCCAGCTACTGTACTATTGATGTCTATATGCAAATTTTAAGGTTACTTTTTAAATTGGTGTTAGGAATCCCTATATATAGCTACATAAGTCACAAACCCAGTTGGCAATCCCTATACGTAAATCCCTCCATATTCTTGCCCAGTGGTCAATTGCTCAGGTGCATCCAGGCGCTTGGCCTCTGCAGCAGGACTGTGCCGATTATCTCTTTCATGAGGAAGCAGCAGCAGAAGAAAGCCAAGCAGGTAAAGGTTGAGTAGGTGTGGTTTTGCAATTAGGAGATTTTCGTGGGCAGGGACTTGTGCTGGAAGGCCGAGTATATCAGTGCATAAACTTCTTAAAAACATTCGAACTTGCCGGAAAGTGCATAGTCCTGCTTTTCCTACGTGGCGAATCTCATGTTTTCTTAGCAAGGATGCTATAATGGCATTGTCTTGCGATTTGCTAGGGACATTGTCTCGAGCTGGTCGAGAACTTGTGTCAAATTAGGTCTGTGTTGGAAATATCCTTACACTTGCAATTAGTTGCTGATCCATGGGGAGCAATACGTGGCTGAGCAGCGCGTGTTCTAAAAAGTTCTGGTACAAGCGCATGCGAATCTAGCTGATCTGTTGTGCAAGTTCTTCAAAGGAACGACGAGTGATTAGTGCACTCACGTATGGTTTGGGAGGTACATCGAACGAGCCTCCTGAGCCTACCCCGATCCTTCTCAACCTCATAGAAAAGGTGGCGGATGGTGCTACTCAGCCTCTATACATGTATAGCTTGGATCTACATGTGTGTGGTGTGCAGGTTTGTGTGTGTGCAGGTGCATATATAAGGGTCTGCAAAAATAGGGGAACCTCGTATACATAACCGTATATATATATAATAAGATACAGAAACCCCGTACATATGCAAACCTGCTCACCACAGGGATCGAAGGATGAGCTTTTTTAGGTGAGGTTCATGCAAGCATCCTGCACATGGCTGCCTGCTAGCCGGGTTCTGCTACTTGTGGGGTTTATAAGATTTCTGGGGTTCACCTTCTTGGTGTTTAAGTTAAGCATGCATACAGGGCTTTATTTATGTAGTTTGCAGGGTCCCAAGGTTTTTAACTGGGTTTCTCCTTTATGTTTTGGTTTACTGCAAGAAAGAACAAGAAACAACATCACTTTATAAGGCAATCCCCATATAAGAAATAGAATTCTGTAGCTTTCGTGCCGTACAACTAACAGCTAGCGCCATCTCAGCCCAAACCTCTTTTTGTTACGTAAAAATCAATCGAAACGAAAATGCTGTAGACCCCATGCTATGCTACCCAACCTACCACTCAAGAACCCTGTTAACTCATTGACCTTCAACTTTAACCCGGTCTAGAAACCCTGCATGTATGAATTTCAACCCACCCTATATATGTAATGCTCAAACCCTGTATCTGTCAAACCTTCGATTTACTCATGAGCCCAGGCACCAGCGCGAACAGTCACTGACCACGCTGAAGCGAGCATCCTGCAGAAGGAGCGGGCTGCGACAGAAATAGAACTTGCTGGTGTGGTTGGTGGCAGCCATAACGCAGCAAGGCATGTGGACAGAGCTATTCGAAGGTTTGGACTGAAGCTACCAGTGCCCACTTCCAACCATGTCTACACTGAGGATGGAGAAACATTTACGTTGCCGTACATCAAGCCCTATGACTATTTGAAAAGTTTGCTACTGCACCATCCTGACTTTTTGTTTGGTGGTCACACGATGCTGGAAGCCAACGCTGTGCTCGAGCAGTTTTGGAAGCGATTCGAAGCTGAACAGCCGTCACATGAGGTTTTTAGCAATCGTCGCCGGCTTAAGTGGATGATCCCCTATGCCTTGCATGGAGACGGAGGGCGCACTCAGAAAAAACAACCGCTGGACATTATTTCGCTTGAGCCTACGCTTGGTCTTGATAGCAAAAAGGTACAGGACAACAAATGCTTCTGTCCACAGCGCTGTACCTGCTCTTCGCCATGGGTGAATTCTAAGCATAACAGCTATCTTACGAGGTTTCTGCTGGTGGCCTTCCCAACGAAGGAGTGGCCTGGTGGTCTCCTGGATGATCTGTTCAGGCTTCTAGCCAACCAACTTCGCGAAATTTTCGATGAAGGAATCTGCTGCCGCGGGAAGCGCTTCTTCTTTGCATGTTTGGGCATGAAGGGTGATCTTGAATTTCATGTTCGATCTCTGCGAAGTTCCGAAGTGAAGAGGAGCCATGAGACCCTTGGTGTCAAGCAGTCCCGCATGATGTGTCTGGAATGCCATGCTGGGGCAGAGCATCTGCCATTCGAAGATTGCAACAGTTCAGCATCATGGGTGGGAACGACCTATGCAAGTTTCCCCTGGGTTTCCAGACCTCCTATGGCTGATATTCCTTTTGAGAATTGGGAGAACCTGCCTAGCCGAGCTGCTTCCTTCTTTCGCCGGGATCCTTTCCACATCTTCCGATTGGGAACCATGGATGCAATTCATTAACCTGTTGGCCTCACAAGTTTTGTTATAGGGTTTTGAGTTGTCGGTTTGTAAGAGCAGCGTTTGTACGCACATATGTGCCTCGGCATTCGTGCCAAACCCAATTAAGATAACCCAAAACAAGAACACCCACAAATCCGATATATTAGTGGTGCTAATGCAGCATCATACCCTACAAATCCTATATAAGCTTTTAACCTTAAAACCTATATAAACTCCATCATATACCCCTGGATGCATATATATATAGAGCCTCCATATAAATCCTTAACCCAAAATCCTGAGTCCTGTAGATCCTATGTATATATATATACATGTATATATATGTATATATATAGGGCTTTGTGTTATATATATAGATGGTTTATATATATAGAGGGTGGTATATATATATATGTATATTGTAAATTATTTGGTTTTATATGTATATGTATATATATAGGGGTCCATATAAATATACACATATATATAATGGGTCTGGTCAACTATCAAGTATACTGCATATAATATCTAGATACATAAAAGGGCCCCTGAAAGAGTACCTGTTCCACTAACGAAACGTTACTTCATGTTTCGGTGCCTTTCAGAAACCATGGCTTTGGTTGCGTAAGCTGTGGCTCTGAGCCAGGTTGCTAGTTAATAGGCTCCTTCCCCAAGTTAGGTTTCTCGCATTAGGGCTGTGGATATGTGATTTCAATCAAAAGACCCTCGATCTAAGGCATAGCAAGGAATTACCTGGCTTCGGTGATACTCCTCTTTGCAACCCTTGGCCTCTGGGACTTGGATGGCGAATCCAAAGCTATGGACAATCGGCTGAAGCGTGCATGGCGACACTTCCAACTCTTCATGGAAACCGAGCAGCTTCATGTTGGTGGTATCAGATCGTTTTCGAAAAAGAAAATGCACTATGGCACCAAGGGATCCTACCCATGGCTTGGATGCAAGGGGGGGGATACTATCGTTCTGCTGAAGTGGATCAGGTTGCTTGTTGTCTTGTTTCGCGCTCGCGACCCTACGCTGGAAAACCTGAGAATCCTGGAGTGGATTGAGCGTGCTACTGATGGTGGCCTGGGCTTTTCGCAAGGGATCCATGGTCATGGCATTTGGCTGGGCACTGCGTGTGCAAGGCATCTCTGCGCGTGCGTGGCCAACTTCACTGCTGGATACTGCCATTTAGCACAGTTCTGTTACAAGAAACACCTGTTGCTATTTGGGATGACGCCGAAGTTGCATTTGTTGTGTCACTTTCGCGTCGAGCTGGCACGTGCGGTCTCTGATGGGCGTCCATGTTTGAACCCAGCAGTCTTTGATTGCTCGACTTCAGAAGACTTCATCGGTCGGGTTTGTCGTCAGAGTCGTCGCATGGCGTTCAAGCGTGGTCGGTTCGAAAGGGACCTTCTGAACCGCTACTTGCTGAAATGCAGATTCGTCATCAGCAAGTTCCGCAGCGGGCGATGAAAACACGCGTGTGTTCCAACACAGGGTTTCTATATGAGCAAAAGTCTAAACTCCTCATATCCCCTTACTAAATCACATATTATATATATAGCAGTTCTATATATACACATATATATAGATACAACCCATTACAACCCCCCTTTATAAGGAGTTTCGACCCTTGCTCATAAAGGGTATTTATTGCAAGACCCTTTACATAAAGCCTCAAGCCGTGTGCACTTCACTTACGATGAAAGAACGAAGCCAAACACATGGGACAACTTGTAGTAGATGGGAATGTCTGGATATGGAGATGAGCCTTCAAATTCTGAAAAGTGCTACTACCAAGCACGATAGTTAGTGGCCTTTGTACAGAGAGTTTATTTGCTCATATATATCCTGGCATTCTATGTTATCCCCGAAATCCAGTCCTCTTGAGCATGTCCGCGGGGACCACCATGAAGAGGCTCTGCATTTCAGTCTTCGAACGGAATTCTTGCAAGGTTTATGGTGAGTTTATTCATAGGGCATATGTACATATATATATATATAGGGTTTACAAGGTTTATATGTAGAGGGCTTAGAAAATGGGGCTAGAGGGGTTATATGTATATATATATATAGTGTTGACATCGACCCTTTATATGATTGGGATGTGGTTGGAGTTAGCACTACACAAGGAGGCCAATCACTGCATGAGCTTTGCATGAGATCAGGAAGCTGCAGTTGTCATCGAGGTTTGGCGCATGGTACCCCATACAAAGGCCACCTATAGAAGCATTTCTTGAATCTGGAAGTTACAAGAATCCTTGCAGGCAATTTTGTACCTCGCAGGCGTTTCTGAACTTTTGCAGTCTAAACTGCCCCTCCAAAACCATGCAGGCGGAATTTCAAGACCCCCGGAGTTTCTAGGTATATACTCCTCTATATGCCCCCCCTTTAGTAGGATATGTCCCCAGGGGAAATTACGATATCACTTCGAGGTCCCCTGATGGTCCAGGAACGCTCTAGGAATTAGGGATTAGTGACTCATAATGGAGAATCATATGGGCGAGCATGGAAAATGAGATGGACACGTGGCTTATAGAGAAGTCTATAGGGATCACATGATCTTCAGCTTGAAGAAATACCTATATCATTTGGAGGTGCAATTGAGGTACCTTATGTCATTACTGTACAGAAAAGCTGGGACGGCAATGTTGGTATTTGCTGCGGCCTCTCTCGTACTTCTCGGGTACTGTGCCCACTCAGGAACGGTAAAACTTATAATTAACATGACTATAGACAGCCATTATTCTGCCCTAATATAGACTGCTACCGTGTGGGGGCAGTGCCCCATCTACACCCTAAACCCTAAACCCCACACCTTAAACCCGAAACCCCCGAACCATAAACCCAAACCCCAAACCCTAACCCTAAACCCGAAACCCTAAACCCTAAACCCGAAACCCTAAGGCCCAAATCCTTATCTCCAAATGGCGTTTGCCCGTGCTACGGATAAAAGAGGCGCTGCAAAAAAAATCCTTATCTCTGAACCCCTAAACTCCAAACCCTAAACAGTACCCAAAGTAATTCATCGATTGAAGGAGATTGGGGAACGCTACGGACGCTGGCAGGCCGCTACTGTTTGGTATGCTTTAGGGTTACGGTTAGGGTTATGTTTGTGGGTTGTGTAACCTACATTAAGTTACCATACTGGGTATATAGAGGGCATATAGGGTATATAGGGTGTAGGGTTTA